ATCAAATTTACCATATTTTGCCTAAGATAAACTGTTTTTTAACCTCTAAGTCCTTTTGTATTTTTTTTAACCTCACTCCCTGATGATTAGTAGGATGGTAGAGTCTCCTATCTCCTTTTGATTTCCTTTACTACTTAAAATATTTTTATTGTATATATGGGCATATCAAGATTTGTAAATTATTTCTGTAGTATAAAGTACTGAAGTATAAAAGGTAAAAGATTGTACCTTTTATCACTATAAAGTGCCTTATCTTTAACATTGATTTAACCTAGCTATTTATTTGTAATATTTTGTCTTTTTACCTCTTTTTTAAAATTTGAGTTTTTAATAGCTAACAAATAGTTAGATATTCATTTATTTTACTCAATAAAAACTGGATGTCCTTGCTTTTTTTAAGAAGTGGGAGCTTAATCCATGAGTATTATTATAACCAATATAGTTAGTCGTATGCTTTTGCTTTTTGCTGATTCCTTTATGTTTTCTCCATTTCTCTATTGACCATGATTTTAATCCTTTTACATTTGATAGTGATTTGTAAGACAAGTATTTGTAATATCTAAATTTTACTAATAGTTAACTTCAACATGATCAGATTCTTATTTAAAATTCTTTCTCTAACTATTGAGGACATAACAGGCTAACTTCTGATTCTGTGATCCCAGAGAAATTTTGCACAAATTCCTTGCCCTGCCCTAGTTTCCAGAATTCAATTTTTAGCTCTTTGGTACAACTTGTTACAGGACATTTAAAAGTACAGTATATTTTCATTTCTCAAGAAAATGTTTTTTTAATTTAACTTTGTAGTTTTGTTTATAGTAGTAATTTCCTGTTAGCTCATTTTGACATGTCAGCTTTTTCATTAAGTTCTTGAGTTTGGTTCGCTGTTTCTCATCTGAAATACCTTTTTAAAGCCCAAGGAATAAAATAATACAGATGCCACCCAATCTATTAAACTTTCCCCATTTGTGGACAGTTTGTTTTTGAAAAAACAAAACATTTTACTAGATTAAATACTTGCTGCTTTAATGTTAGTGAAGGTAGATAACACAATTTCTTTGAATGAAATAAGATTCTATGCTTATTGACACATTTTTAAAACCTTGTATAGAGTTCATTTACATCCCTACCGGAGAACTCAGCAGTCTGAGATAGGATTTATGCTGCTTTGAGGAACCAAAACTGTGGTATGCTTTTCTGCATTGTACTGCATAATTCTCATCATTCCTCTAGACTTCCAGGCATAGATGTCTTCTCCATGCACTTTATCCTTCTATAAATTTTGTTTGAAGGGTTAATGACACCTGCTGAGCAGCTAGCTTCTTGTTGGAACTCTCCATACTTAAGCTGTAAAGAATGTTCATAGCCTGGCTCACAAATCTTGGCAGATGTGCACAGAATTGCTCTACCTTTCACTCAGTCCAGGGCGATGGGACTTTGTTATATGTTCCTTAGCAGTGATAAAACCATGGATCGTTATTTTCCTAATTAGCCATTAATAACAGTTAAGCCTGTAATGAGATCACAGCTTCAGAGTTTGGAGAATATATTGTTGACAATGAAATTTAATGAAAAACGAAATGGCTTCTTATATTTTATAAAAGATGTTAATCTTATTGATAGAATTACTGCCACTCATGCCCGACACTAGTGTCCTTTCATTTAGTCTGTTTTGTTTTAATTCAGATAACTGAAATATATAATAGTCTGATGGGAAGAAAATTCTGGAACTAGAGAGTGAATTACTATAATTTTTAAATAAATGAGGTGCTGAAGTATTTACAGGCTGATAGTAGGAAAACTCATTGCATCAGTTAGAGCAAAAGCTTTCTTAAAACAGAGCCGCCATGGGTGCTAGGACAAATCAATGTAAGCAGATCGATTTTTCTTAGGTCTTTAAATGTTTAAGCCAGCACCTGGCCTTTGTAATGTCTCTTGGTTGTAGGTAATAGCTGGGAATTTCAGATGAAGGATTACAAATTCTGAGTTAGTTATGCTACCCCAAATGATCCATTGGATGTGGCTGAAAATGCCAGTTTTAAATGTATTCATGGGATTAGGAATGAATACTTCTTTTGCCTGAAATCGTGGGTTTAGCTTTAGTACTTACTGTAGTCAATCCATTTCTTTGAAATATTGAGCTGTCTGACAGCTGAAAATCCTAAGTTTCCTTTAAACTTGAGCCTGGCTTTGGAGGAGAAAAAGGGTAGTGTGGGGGTGGATTTTTATGTAAGACTCTCCGAAGAAAATTCACTGAAGTGCTTTTGCTGGCAGGGCACAGGGATGACTAGTAACCTGCTTCATCTCGATCTTTCTTGGGTTTTGCCCTTAGCCCAGATCAACATTTAGTCAGATAACTTACGTCAAGGCCACTGGATTCTCTTGTTGGGCCTTGTATCATTTTCCTTCCATGAAAAAACATGGAAAAGATCCAAATGCAAAGTCCACATTTTGCTAAAGCAGTTGGATGTTAGGAAAAGTCTTCACACCCTGGTACCCTTTACTCCCTGGATGTTTATTTTTCATCTTAGTTGGGGGACTGAGTTTCTATAGCCATCTCTTGATCAAATATCACCTTATAAGATTTCTTTCTTTGTGAATGCAGCCAGATACCACAGATGTATGTAAAATATATTCTGTGGAGATACTAACATACTGCAGACTCATTATTTCCATGGTAAATGTAAATATCTAAATGGGCACTAAGGTGTGAATGAAGTCAGCAGTAGGCCGTAGAGACATGGGTTTAGTCCTAGATTTCATACCTGCTTCTGAGTGTATCATTGGTTTTATTTGTTTCTTCATTCATACACCAGAGGTAGCGTCACCTGCCTTTACTTAACTCAGAGATCCAGTGGGATAAGATTTCCAACTTTGCTTGTGAATTAGGGGGCCCTCTCCACATACAGGTTTTATTTTCAGTATAGATATAACAGGTAGTCTGTTTTAAATTTAAAAATATGTGATAGAATGAGATATGCTAGCTATGAGGGAATATGTCAAAAAATAAATATAGAAAAAAAGAGTTCTTCAGAGACCATAGCAGAGGATATGCTGTCTATGAACTTAAAAATTTTTTTACCTGAAAAGCACAGAGAATGTGAGGTGAGCATGCCAGAGATAGAAATCTAGTGTGAAAAAGTGGAGGGCAGAAAAGGACAGGACATGTTCAAAAAATTGAGAGAAAGTGATGTTCATTTTAGATTAAATCCCCTTTTATTATAAGTATAAAAATGAAAACTTGAAGGGAATGACAATAGTCTGAACTTTTATTCCATAGTAATAAGAAAAGGCTCATAGAACTTGCATCTGAATTAACTGAGAATTAGCAGGTTTAGCAGTAATTTAGGAGGAAACTAAGTACTTAAGGGCTCAGGAGGATACGAAGTAAAATTAGCATCACTTTTTGAGGTTCCATTAGAGAAGACTTCTGGAGAATGAGATTTTAGAAGGAAGTGATAAAAGTGGTTTTGTAGCAAGGTTGAAAGCCACAAAGAATGCTCTCGTAGTGGGGTTCTAGTGATAGCTAATCACACGGTATGTTTGAAAGTAAGGTCTGAACTATAGTCTTTCAAGAAGCACATTAAAGATACAAGAAATGCTAATACAGGTTCACTCTCTATTTATCTTGGTTCATCTTGCCCCTTGGCCCCAGAGCCATATGAAAACCTGCAGGTAAACGTTTTGCCACCTGTTACCTGTTCTGCTCTCTTAAGTTTCTTCCTACCCAGAAATATGGGAATTGTGTTTGGTTTGAGACTATCCATTTTCTGGTCCATGCACTCCTCTCTAAGATTTCTTTCTATTTTCTTCCAAAGGAACTCTTTTGAGAAGACCCTGATCATTTCCTGGCAACTTGCTTTCCCTGCCTTTGCTTTCTGCCTTTCTTCCATCAAGAGTGTCTTCTCTCAGCCATATGAGCACAGTCCTCTTTCACAATCCATGGCTTCCAAAATCACTTTTCCTCTGAAGGCCACTGGCTACTTTTTGGTTTTCATTTAGCAAGTATTTCCTTGTGGTGTTTTACTTGCATGTCTTGCACTTTCTTTTGCTAGATGGAGAACATTGTAAAGGGCCTGTGTCTTGTAACCTGCATCAGATTGCTTGGGATTTCTGCAAATGTAGTTGGTGGTGACAACATAGACTGATCTTCCATATGTGTGTGACTCAGTCTCACATAGACTAATGTTTGCAGTTCTCTGTGCTTGCTGGTTTTTGTTTTTTTAAACTGAATTCATTGGGGTGACATTGGTTGGCTGCATAAATGTGTAGTGTAGAAACTTCTAAAATGTAAGCTTTGTAAGATCAGAGACTTTTTTTTTTTTTGTATAGCACCACATCTCTAGTTCTTACTGCCAGGCCCAGTTGTGGACTTAATACCTACTGGTTGAATGAGTGCTGGCTTAATTTACGTAAACTATAGGTCTTAATCTGTTACTTTTAAATATCTGGCAGGAGACCTCCAGAACGTTGTGTCAACAAGCAAGATTGTTAAGTATCTTCCCAACGGTTAGAAGATAACCTTAGCCCAGCACCTCATCTTCTCCTAGGATAAGAAATCTTGGTTTTTGTTATTTTGTTGTTTCTTCCTTTCAGACGAGTACAGAAGAAATAATAGTTGGTGTAATCTGCCTTTAGCTTATTCAGTGTTCTGGGTCTTTTTAATATTTACCAAAAATCACAATGAAACAGAGGAAAAATCTGAGGGAAGATTACTTTCTAAGATTTATAGACCTTTGTTAGACATTTCAGGTGTTTACTTGAGTCTCGCTCACTCTTTTTATCTACATCAGCATTTTGTGGTAAATGCTTTGCTTATCCTACCCTCTGTGTTTCTCTCTATGGCAACTTGCCTGGCAGTATTCAGAAACTGAGAAGGATGTTAAAGATCAAGACCTTAAATTACTCACTTTTGACAAGGCTTAAAGAACAGGGGAGAGAAACAGCCCTGTGAGGAGACCACTGACTGTTTTCTTGTTCCTATTTTCTTTTGTCTTTAGCTCAAGCCAGGACAGAACAGCTGCAGGGACAGTGACAGTGAAAGCGCCAGTGGAGAATCCAAGGGCTTCCACAGGAGCAGCTCTCGGGAAAGGCTCAGCGATGTAAGTATTTATTTAAAAATCGTCAAGCCCCGCTGATCATGGCTCAGCGGTGAGCGTTGACCTAGGATCCAGGAGATCGCAGTTCGATTCCTGGTGAGGGCACATGCCCGGATTGCGGTCTCAATCCCCAGTCAAGGGCGTGCAGGAGGCAGCCAATCAATGACTCTCTCATCATTGACGTTTCTATCTCTCTTTTTCCCTCTCCCTTCCTCTCTCTGAAATCAATAAAGATATATTTTTTAAAAAATTTAAAAATAAAAAGTCAAACAAAACCACCAGACCATACACCCCTTGAGTAAAGTCTCAATTCCCCAACACTCTGCCCCTTCATATCACTTTGTATATCTAAGTATTACAGTTTACCCTTTCTTGTTGTACATGTGGTTGAGCCTTATGTTACAGTGTCATTCCATTTTCTAGTTTGACCTAAAATGTGTTTTAACAAATTATAAGGTAGGTGGGAGTATTCTCACTTTAGAAACAGTCAGGAAATTAAGTTCCTTCTCTTGCCAATAAGTGGCTGGTTAGTCACCCCTTCCAACAGAAAAAAAAAAAAAAAATGACAGAAAGGGATTATTACTGATCTCATGGGTGAAGAAATTTCAGATAGCCCATAGTTAAATGATGTCATTTCCCCATTGTAGGTAGAACTGCCTGTTTCTGGGGTAGAAACTGTTGTGAAAACATACCATGCCTCTTGAGGGACCTGTCAGCTCTCCAACCTCCTGTCCACCAATGGTCCTGATTCCCCTTTACCGCTTCCCAGAACCACCTGGCCCTCTTTGGACTGTCTTACCTTCCTCCCTAATGTATCATATAACAGGATTCTTGACCCATCTTTGCCCCTGAGAGCAACACTTGGAAACTTTCTTGTACAATAGGTCAAGTAGGTAGAAATTTTCATTATTGATACCAACACTGGAATATTAACAGATTGAGATAATACTCTTAAGAAGGAAGATGGCAAATCCACCTGAGTTTCAGGAAGAAGCAGAGTTAGGCTGTATAATAGGCTGCCTCTTGTCTTTCACTTTTTTTATGCTCTAAAGCAGTGTCTTCATTATGATGTATAAGATGATTTAGTGTATTAAATATTAGTATTTATTTTTTGTCTAAAAAAAGAAATTAAACTTCACTAATACCCAACTTAAAAGTCAGGGAGTAGCTCATTTCTATAATTGACAAACATACTTATCTTAGGAGTGTCCCCAAAACTTTTTTTTTACTGAGAAGTATTCATAAGCATGAAAGGTTGGAGACCATTGCAGCACACTGAATCATTCCTATAAATATTTCCCATCCATTTCTCCATCAGCCAAGGTGGACAAACCCAAGAATTAGCCACCTTCCCATACCTCTTAGGAAAGTTTGTGAGATTTATGGTGATATTTGATGCATGTAACATTGAATTCTTATAAGAATTCAATGGAATAAACAAAGCATAATTATTTCTATAGTACTCTTATTTTCTTGTTTATAGATAGTCACCCCCCTTCTTTTAATATTGATAATATCAATTAACTCAGTCTTTGCTGTATGAGTATGTGTGTATAAGAATATTTCTTTGTGTATTTGTTTCATTAATTTTGTAACTGAACTATAAATTATAATAATAAAACTATAACAGTATTTCCTACCTATGTTATTAACAATACTTAATACTTAAGTAGCTGTTCTTTTGAGATTTTGTTTTGCTTTTAATATAAGATCTTATTGACCCTGGAAATTTGTCCAGGATTAGTTAGTCATAATTTCATCGTAGAGTGGAGAAATAAGGCCACATTAGGTCAAGGAACAAGAGCATAGTATTACACAGTCATTGATATCTTTTGACTGTTTGCCCTGAACTTATTTTCCATTAGGCCAAAAAAAAAAATCTTCAATGTTCATACATAGGAAGATGTCATACTGTTAAGATGTCAGTATTCCACAAAGCAATATACAGTTTCAGTGCAATCCCTATGAAAATTCCAGCAGTCGTTTTTTTTTTCTTTTCTAGAAATGGTAAAGCAGATACTCAAATTAATATGGCCTGGCTTGAGGCCCCTGGAAGAAAACACAGTGTTGAAAAAGAATAAAGTTAGGAGACTTATAATTTCCTAATTTCAAAATTTACTACAAAGCTATAGTAATCAAAACAGTAGGTAATAGCATCAGGACAGACATATAGACCAATAGAGTAGAACTAAGAGTCTAGAAATAAACCCATACATCTCTGCCCAACAAATGTTTTTTTTAATCCTCACCCGAGGATATTTTTTCCATTGCTTTTTAGAGAGAGTGGAAGGGCAGGAGGGGGAGAGACAGAGAGAAACATAGATGTGAGAGAGACACATAGATTGGTTGCGTCCCCCGCCAAGGGAAGGGATTGAGCCTGCAACTGAGGTACGTGCCCTTGGCCAGAATCAAACCCGGGACCCTTCAGTCTGAGGGCCAACCCTCTAACCTGAGCCATACCGGCTAGGGTAACCCAACAGATTTTTGACATGAGTGCTAAGTTTATTGAGTTGGGAAAGAATTTTCTGTTCAACATATGGTGCCGGACAACTGGATTTCCTTGTGCAAAAGAATGAAGTTGGACCCTTGTATCACACTGTGTACAAATATTAGCTCAAAATGAATTGATACCCCAAATATAAGAGCTAAAACTATAAAACTCCTAGAAGAAAACATAAGGGTAAATCTTTATGACCTTGAATTTGGCAGTGGATTCCTAGATATGACACCAAAAGCATGAGCAACAAAAAGGAAAATAGAAAAATTAGACTTCATCTAAGTTAAAAACTTCTGAAAAGTTTTTTTGTGTGTGTGCATCAAAGCACATTATCAAGAAAGTGAAAAGAAAACCTACATATTGGGAGAGAATATTTGCAAATCATATAACTGATAAATGTTTAATATCTAGATATGTAAAGAACTCAACAATAACCAACAACCCAATTCAAACATGGGCAAAGGACTTGAGTAGACATTTGTGCAAAAGGAGATGAACAATTGGCTAATAAGCATATGGAAGAAGCTCATCATCATTAGTCATTAGGGAAATACAAATGTTAACCATAGTGAAATATTACTTCAAATCTACTAAGATAGATGGATTTTTTTTTTAAAAGAGGAAAATAAGTGTTGGCAAGGATGTGGAGAAATTGAAACCTTTGTACATGCTAGTGGGAATGTAAAATGGTGCAACCACTGTAGAAAATAGCTAGACAGTTCCTTTAAAACCTAAATACAGAATTACCATATCCCCACCCACTCCTTTCCTTGTGTGAGCTCTGGGATCACATGCTATCTGCTCCTTTTCAGTGTTTTTTTTTCCCCTTGCCTCAGGTTCTTTCCTCCCACAGATGTTCTGCTGTGGACTCAGGTGAAGACTAGAAGGGAACCTTCTTCAGGTTTCATGATTCTCTACGAAGCTCTCATCTCTTTCATCTTCTGCTTTGCCTATTCCAGTGGCCTTGACTTTCTTTGCTTATCAACTCTATCTTTGCAACTCAGGAAATGCTGGACTCCACAAGGGTCATTCCCCACCGCACCCCACCCCACTCCACCTCACCCCACTCCACCTTGACATTGTAACTCTCCAGGCAGTAAGCTGAGGCAATTGTGGGATCACCTCATTTGCTTCCCTTCTTTCTGAGATCATTGTCCTATGTTGCCTGTTGCCCAGTTTCTGAAAACCCCCTTTTCATATAGTTTTTCCTGCTTCTTTGTTAGCTTCAGCTTAAGCTACCTAAAGTGGGAGAGTATATTCGGTTCCTGCTAGTCCATCATGCCCATTCTTGTTTTTTCGGCTAATATAAAAATCTTCAGAAGTGTTTTACTCACATTTAATGATATTTTTAGAAACTTTGGCAGTTGAGACTTACTCTCAAGTGCAGCTCATCAAGGTACTGTATTAGTCCAGCTTAGTTTGTTTTTTAATCAGATGGGCCAAAGGAGTAGGGATAAAGAGTTCCAGTATAGCAGAAGAATTTTACCTATGGGTAAAACTTAAAAACCCAATGTGCTTGGCTTTTCTAAATTACATATTCGCAGGCTATGTTGCCATGAGAGAATATTTGTCTATAAGGACTTTCGGATTGTCCACATCAAGGATACATAGTAATTTATTTAGATTAGTCACTAAGGAAAAAGTTAAGTTAATGGAATATATCAGTGTTCATGATGAATTGTTCAAGGGGGGAAATACTGCTTCTGACTTATACAGAATTTTGCACCTGAGGAAGTAGTCAAAACTTGGGGGTTAAACTTACAATCTTGGTAAATGGCAAAGTCTCAAATTACGATATGATCATGGGCATTCATTATAAACACACTGAGTTTTAATAGCAGTTAGTTTATTATCGGTATGACCTTAAGGAAAGAACTTGCTCTTTCTTAGCCTTTGTTTCTTTGTGAAATGGGTATAATTTCACCTACCTCGTAGGTCTCCTTTAAAGATTACCTGGTACTATGCATTTGTATCACATAGTATAGTTCTTGGTGCTCAAAGCACATCACCTGTGCTCAAAAATATTCACCCTCTTCCTTCATGCATCATGCATCATGCATCATGCATCATGCATCATATTTAGAACTTGCCTTAGCAACCTTCTCTACCCTTTATAACTTAAATTCCCTTGTAACTGTCTACTTGACAAGACCTGCGTCTCTCAATCATGACAAATGTGAAGCCACTCCTAAACAAAACCCTCATTATCCCATGCCTCCTTGTGTATTTTTTCTCAGCCCTGAACTGTCCTTCTTAACTTCCCTGTCCCTATACTGGATCCCAGAGCTAGTATTCTCAAAGTGAGGCTCTGTTCCTTCCTCTGTCTTGCTTGTCGTGTTCACTTAGTCACTCTTTGAAGAGGTGTTGGGTATGATTATCCTCTCCTGGACACCAGCGGTACTTCAGATGCTCTCACTATCTCTTACACATGATTCCTATGGCATCTCGGTGATTTTCTCTGCCCAGGCTCTGTTTCCTTTGCACCGTGCCCTGCAATGCTTCCAGA